GAGCCGCATGTATCTCATAATGATTTCAGCTCTTGTCAAGGCAGTGTAATGGATAGTATTCTGAAGCTGATATAATTTTAAAGGACAGATCCTATAAAACATTGTGATTCCTAGCCAATAATGTGCCTTCTGGAACTGATTATTTAGTCTGGAGTTGCACTGTAGACTGTCCCATCCTTTTGTCTAGGCTTCATCAAGTACTTGCCAGGTGCAGTGACAAATAAAACTGGAAGAGATTTGTGGGGGTGACTTTTGCAAGAGGCCTTCTGTAACAGAGGCAGCAGGCATGAGTTGTTTCTCAGATGCTGTGGAGCCATATGGTCAGAAAGGTGTTGTCCTTCCCGTTTCCTCAATTACTAGTTTGATCTAGCTGTGTGGAATACACAGTTCTGGGTGTATGTTGCAATAGGATTGTGTAATGCTCAGAAACGATGAGGTCTTGTACGATTCCTTTCTTACTTTTAACTCTTCCTGTTCATCTATGAATTAGTTGTAGCAGAGCCCCAGAGGTCATAGCCACAAGAATGACATTTGAATCAATTTACACCCTACTAACATATAGCATATACCCAGCTGAATGGGAGGTAACAGCCACTAAGTGGGTCACTCCGGAATATTAGGAGCCATTTCTGTCATATCAGCATGGCAGGTCACTCTGTTAAATACCTGCTTTTTTCCGTGTGAATCTCCCTGGTTGGATTCTTATAATTTTAATACGTAATAGAAATTGTATGTAGCATCTAGCTTTTTGTCTGGTTAAAAAGAAAGAGCCACACCCTTAGTTGCTGACAACTGATAGGGTTTCATTGACTTTGACCAATAGCAGACCTGTGCCTCCTACAGAATCTGGCTTTAAGCAGATGTCACAAACTCACTCTGAATGTCCCTACAGCATACAGATAGCAATTGCCCTCCTCCTGCCCTACACAAACAACGCCCATCCACAGCAAGCTGCTTTTTTTCATTGGTAACCGTAACAGAAACGGACTGTACTTGTACTGGAAATTATTTACTATCTGCAGATGGGGCTGTAATTGTTTTTACTTTTTTATTATTGTTTTCCAAACCTCCAATAAAAGCACTGGGCGTGAATCCACCACTCCCTTGATTACAAAGAGTAATTAATCGAGCAGATCTTTTTTCTTTTTATTGTCCTGTGGATTGAAAGATAATGATATGCAATGTGGAGGATACTTCTGCTAGCGATACAATTTCTGTAAAGCATAAATCGTGATCTGTAGAGTACTGTCCAACATTCAGTGAGCAGGCTGCCTGCTCTGTCTTCCCCCATACCTTATGCATACATACGTACTTGCATTCTGTATTTTCTGGTGTGATCAAAACCAGTCTGGTTAATGTTTCAATAACTTCTCTTTCTCATTGTTCCTACTAGCAGCAGTAACGTGCAATTTCAATCTGTGTCAGGAAGCACGCTTCCTTTAAGAGAGGAAATCTGAATGAATTTAGAGGCCGTGGAAAAGGGTGGCTTACAGTTTGTGTTGCTGCAGTCTAAGAAAACAGGGTACAAGACAGATGCTGTTTTATTTAACAAACAAACAAATAAAAAAACAAGTCATGTTTTTCCTCGTTCCAAATACACAATCTTGAGGAACGTATTCAAGCATCTGGCTAATTCACGTACCATTAATTCTCTAAAGATTACATATGGACACCCAATTAGACCTGCATCATTTATTTAAAAAATTAACGTACTCATATTTGTTATAGCTGTGCCAAATTGTTAAAGGACACAGAATGAGGAATTTTAATAGCAAAATGTGAAGAGTCCTTCTCCTGATGCTTTCAACTTTTCTAGCAGGGTTTTACCTAAGTTTAGTTTAAAAACCGTAAAGACACTTTTTTGCTATTGGTGAATGGCTAAATGGCATTTTAAAGACCTAAGCTTGTTAGAAACTCTGAGATGTTAGAAACTCTGAGATTAGCCTGTCTTCATACAGGAGCTAGAGGAGTGGGCACCAACCCTGATGTCTGAGGTCTTTTTGTATTTCAGTAATATGAGTAATCTTCCCTTTGTTTTGCAGACTGCAGTGAGTTGCTGCCAGCTGCAGTTTCTTGAGGGTTTAAGAGTCTCAAACAAGTACAAGGACGTAGTCCTCCAAAGGTTCTGAGGATGACAGCCTCATGCTGATGGTGTATGTCCCCTTGCACGCTTGTATGGCTCTCCACCAGCTTAACTGAGAGGCCAGTACCACTCAGAAGAATAATGTGGATCTTGGCAAGAGATGGGTGATCATAGTCTGCTTCAGAGGATGTATGTGGGATGGGAAAAACTAATCCATGTCGTGACTACTTTGTTCATCTTTCTGGTACCTGAGTGCTAAAGAGACTCAAATCCTTAAAGGCAATGATATTCTCATCTTATTCTTAGCAGTGAATTCCTGCGAGGTCTGGTAACCAGCAACAGAGATGGTGGTTAGTAGGCATCTGCTTTATATCGGGCTTTACTGGTGTAAAGTTGCCATGGAGATCGGTAGGAGTTTTAAGTGAGCAGGGACCACAGCGGTTCACCGTGTACGTGTAAATCTGTTTGACATGACGTGTGTATCAAATTCGGCTGCCCTGCTCACATTTGAAGTCCACTTGCTTGCCCGATTCTCATGTATGAGAGCTGAACAACTGCCATGCAGTGTTCATAGCGCTGTGACGTTAAAGAAAGGCAGAATTGGGATACTTCCTATTCTGGGGACCCTATAAAAGCAAAGTCTGTGCACCGAAGAATTTTTAGTACAGATATCTAAGCCCTGTAAGCTAGAGGGAACTGTTACTTGCAGAACTTTCCTAGGTTGGAGCCTTTCTTGTGATAGCAGTAAGTATGTTGGCTGTCTGAAACAGAGAATTATTAAGAGGCAGAAACAGAAATCTTGCAGCTTGGGAGATGTGGGAAGGAGGAATCTTCCCAACTCATTTTAGAACTTGTAAAGCAGATTAAAATACAGAGGGCAAGCAGAATGAGGGCTGAAAATAAATGTCTCCTTTATGTTTGTAAAGGGTACGCAGGCTCCACGTGCTCAGAAACATTGCTGGGAAAACATCAATTAAAATGCTCAAGATTGACGAAGGTTTTAAGGCTGTTGAGGTAAATGGTGACTCATATTGGTTGAAGGAAGGAAAAACTTAACGGCGTACACCCCAAGCTGGACTCTGAAATGAGACTTCCCAAGGGACTGACCCACAGGCACCGGGATTTTAGCCAGAGCCTGCTGATCTGCAGCCTTCAAAGGTGAAGAGCCAAAATCTTTTTTTTTGACTTGGCAGCAGACCTGCTGGGTTTACAGTGCATATATGTTTGCGGAGTGTTACAGAGAGAAACTTGGCATATTTCTAATCTTAGAGTAAGAGGAAACAGCCAGCTGATGAAAATATTCGGAAGGAAGGGTTAAGAAGTTGGAAGCTTTGAAGCCGGGGGGGAAGGGGGGGAATAGGGCAAATGTGGAGATGGATCTTTGAACACCACTTGCTCCAGCAGCAGCTACAGAGCCCTCCTGCATATACTGCCTGGACCGTGGCATTGATTTGAGAGGGGAACAAGGATTCTGCTGTCTTTATCCTGAGAAAAAACTTCTACTCCTTTTCAACAGAAGCTAAAGCTTGTGCATCTTGAAGACTGCTGTGAGCTTGTTGTATTAGTGGAAAGGCCTGATTGCCTGCATCAAAAGCGTCCTCTCCTCCTCCTCCCCGCCCATCTCCTGTACCACTCTTAACAATTTAATCCATAGCAGTTTGTCTTCATGGGCTGTAATTGATCTGTCTGTGATTTAGCTCATCAGATGCTCATTAAAGAGCTTGCAGCCTTTCTTATTCATGAGGAGTAAGAGTGAGGGATCTAAAAACACTTTGTCTTTGTCTTAACTGGATTCATTTAGTATTCTGGGATTCAGGGAGGCTAATAAACTTATACGAGCTATTATTTAAAGGTGAGCTGCCAAGTGAACATGAAGGATGATCCAAGCACTGCCGGTGTGCCGAGCGCTCTCTGACATGGGGTGTCAGGTGTGAGCAGCAGAAAGAATTGTTGCTAAAACCCAGCAAGAAATTCCTCGCTGCTCTGTGGAGAGAGTCCCACAATGCCCTGGCCGTGTGTGATCCGGTAATGCAGCTTGCGGTGGAGCTCCTGGAGCTAAATCTGCAATGAGGATGGCATTTTATGCTAGCAATGTCAGCGGAATATGCAGAAATATTTTGTGCGTTGTGTATAGAGTTTGAGCTTGACATCTGGTTTTCTTTTTTAAGCGCTGCTATTGTTCTGAGCTGCCGTCTGTACACTGGCAATGCCTGTAATGGTGTGCGCTTCCCATGTTGCCTGCACACACACGCTGAGAAAATGCCTGTCGCTAGCCTTTAACAAGGATATGCTGGCAATCTGCAAAAGAGAACAATACCCCTGGGCTGCAGAAAGCGGTTTCCTTTCCCCTGTACTTTAATGAACGCTTGAGAGACTTCCAAGCTGTAGGAAGAGGACATGGGATGGCTGGGTTCTCTGCTCTGTTCCTTTCTGAGCCTGGCTCCGCACGCCAGAGACTTCCAGAAAGAGGAATAATTCCCTGCAGTTATTGAATTTACTGTGTAGTCATACGCATAGTGTCATCAAACCGGTTATGCCTTAGAGGTTGCTTAAGTAACTACAACCACAATGGGTTTTAAAGTTCTCCCTGGTCTTTTAAAACACTAGTTCTGCGAGGGAGCACATGCAGCTGCATCCTGTGTCCTGAATCGATTGACTTTGGTCATGAATCATGGGGAGGTGGGGGGCCCTGTAGACAAAGCCCTGTGTGATGGATCTGAACCCTAACAGGGCACGCTGCCATTCAAATAAACCGACTTCCCAGTTGTGCGTGTCAGGATTGTGAAATCTTTTGGAGTAGAAACCTTTTCTAATTGCTCAAAGTCAGAGTATTTATAAATACTCTATGCTTGTCTTTTATAACTGTATGTTGTCCTATGTTTATATATATTAATACCATATTTTTCTATCTTTGTAGTGTATAGAGGCCAAAAAGCACTGCTGGTACTTTGAAGGATTATATCCTACATATTACATGTAAGTAGTCATTGCTTTCCTTTCTGCATTTTCTAATGCTGAAGAGAGAGTTGGATTCTGTAGACTTTTAGAGTGTTATTCTTTCACTAATTATACTTTTCCCATAAGTTCTGAGACTTTTTCTAATTTAAAAATGAAGATGCAATAAAATTCTTCTCTGCGACCCATTTCTTTCCCT